GGAACACATGCACTTTCTTTCTTCACCCACTAAAGTATATAAGTGGACCTACTGCTGTTTTGCAGGACTGAGGATGAAGCTGGCTATTCTTTGTGCTATAGCTTTTAATTCTCAGCTTGTCACTACCACAAGTCAACATCTCATTACTTATGCATTAGCAGTCATTCTGTAATTCAAGATGAAAAGAAACAAATATTTCAGCATTAAAAATGGTAATGCAATCCAATTGTAATTGCAATGCAATTATCTAAGGTTTTAAGCTGGGGGAAAGAGGAGAAAAAGAAATGTTTTGTTCTTAGAGTCATTAGCCATTGGAAATAAAAGTGCCCACAAGCTTATATGCTACCAGAACTGAATATATCTTACAGCAAGTGAATTTCACAATGTCAGTTCTCTTATTAGGCAAAGTGAGGCATCAAGGGAATGTAAAGGCCAGCAACTCAGCTATTCCTGAAGCATTTGTCTATCTTGAGGAACAAAGGAGTATGTCTATATATCTTATCCTCAACACCTTGCAGGTCCAGCACACCTGATGACCTCCGGCATAACTGGCCAGCTTCTGTAGGTGGAATGGAGGGGGATCCACTATCTTGTCCTTTGACATAGACAGCAAAACATTTTGGTGAGTTCTGGCACTTAAATACATTTTTTTTAAAGTAAGTTGTGCTATTCCTTGAATGCTTCTTCCCTTCCCCTCCCCATCTTACTATCTGCCACCAGATTTAATTAGTTCTACCAATGAAGGATGAGAAATGCAGCACACATTTCACGAGATAGCAAGAGAAAAAATAATAAAACTGAGCAAGACTAGAAAAGATAGAAGTAATGAAGGCAAGGTCATATGCAGTTTCAAACAACATAACATTAAAGGTACTTCTTTTAAAAAACCATTCTGTTATCTGCCAGGAGTATGAGAACAAGTACAGTAAGATTAGCCTTCCTTCTCGACCATCGTGTCCACAGCAAATTCTCTCCTCACCCTTTTGTCACAATATAGTTCCTTCCCATTAGAGAGTGCCAGGTCAACTCAATGTGAACATTATATATGTATATGTATATGTATATGTATATGTATATGTATATGTATATGTATATGTATGTGTGTGTGTGTGTGTATGTATGTGTATATATATATATATATATATATATATATATATATATATATAAAATAAAAGAGGAGCTTAAAAACTCTCCCCACAAAGAGATAGTTGAAAAACAGTTGCCAAGTAAGCTTATACCTCTCTGCACAATATAAGTCTATTATTATATTATGTTTAGAGGGTTAGACTAGGAGTCTAACACTAGGGAGATCTCACTTAATATTCCTATGATGCTTGCAATATGACCTTGAGCCATTCACATCCAACCCAACCAACTTAACAGGTTTTTCACAAGGATAAATGAGAGGTGCACCGAGAAATATGTGTGCTGCCTTGAACTATTTGGAAGAAAGGTAGAATATCAGTAAATAAAATGAATATTTGAAGAGAGTCATGAGGTTTTTATGACAGCTTTTGACTTACAGAATTAGATGTAGAACGACAATACACATATAAGTTCTACTGAAGTGGATAGATTGTCCACAGAATGTATCTGTGTGTGTGAGAGAGACAGAAGGCAAATCAAGAGCTACTAGAAAATGCCACAAATATATATGACAACTTGAGCTCGAAAGGGTTTTTTACACCAGAGCAACTACCATGGACATGCATCTGGGACCTTTAGTGGTCTATTGTGCATTTTCCTGGTGAATTGGGGCCCTCCAAGTAGATAGGAAGATTTAGCTTCTGCTGCATCTATTAATCATCAATAAAATCTTCACATAAGTGGCTTATTTATATATTTATATAAATGGCTATATTTATGTATCCTCAACCTATTTGATGAGGCTTGCTTGGTTTGTTTGTTTATTCATTCATTCATTTATTATTCAATCTTTCTTCTTGTACAAGATCCAAGACAGTTTACAACCTAAACATTTATTGATACAAAAGGTTTTTTTTAAAAACAACAACACACAATTAAAGAACAATTCAGTTAAAAATACAAAATTGAAACAATATAAAACATACTGGGAAAAGACAGTAAAAAGCACAAGTGAGAAGTGAGGGACAGACTTCCCTGTGGAACCACTAAACTGTCACCTTTTTAAAAAACATTTTTAGAAATTCTGAATCTGTTTATGTTTGTCTAATAGACCTGACTTGTTTACTCACCAAGATGTTTCAGACCCAGCTTTGGATGAATCAATAAAGCATATCCCTTCTCTGACAAATAGGACCAAATTAGCACACACAAGCCATCTCCTCCTTCATCTCAGCATTTCTAAGTTCAACAGTTACCAACCACCATTTGTGACAAGGCTTGAATCATCGCACTGTGGTTGCCTGTGCCTTCCAACCTTGAATCAGAAGATATGGTTCTGATTCTGATCTCTCATTTTGGTTCAGTAAGCAGGTACAAATTATCATCAATCAGAAGGAGTTACTATTTAAGACTGTAGCTCTCAGAATCCCCAACAAGGATGGCTCATGGACTGCATGGGATGAGGATTCTGGGAGCTGTTAGTCCAAAAAGTAACTTTTCCACCCTTAAGTGTGCTAATCTGAAGTGTGCTAATCTGAAGTCTCAAAGTATCTAGGTCTCCTCTGGTGCTTCTATTATAGATTATAATTCCAGTCATCCATTCACTTGGAAAATAATGAAGGGGAGCAAAGCGAGTGTATGCACAAAAACATGGTCTTTCTCTCACATTCCACAATCTTGTTTGGCATCTAAGTTGGTTAGAGAAAGAGCTATAGCCTTGGGGGGAGGAATTCCATATTATGTTACTTGGAATAAAACCTTTAAAAAGACAGTTTATGGTAATGTTTCAGCTGCTTTACAGCTTTGCAGTAGAGACTCCCATCAACACACAAAATGTGAATTCTCACAGCCAGTATTCCAGAAGAACTCAACAGGAATTGCTGAGAGCACTTCAGTAGAACTTATATGTGCATTGTCATTCCAAATCTAATTCTGTAAGTCAAAAGCTGTCATAAAAATATTACAAGCCAAACATGAGAGACATTACAGGGCAATTTCTTCCTTCTGTTTGCTACTTAAGAGATAACTGGAAAAAAAAACCCAGTTACTATGTTTATAGTCGCCAGCAAAATTAACAATCAGTACAAAACAATTGTTCTTTGTGAAGTGAAGAATAAACAGAAATAAATGAAGCAAGTTGCATACCTTTAAGCATCACTTGTCCACATCTTGTAGTAGCAAATTCCATTGTTTAACTTATACAATCTATGAGGAAGTACATTTGGGGGGCATCTGTCCTGAATCTTCCACCTGTACTGCATGACTCTAGAGGTTTCTCCACATCCACTTTCATCCACTATGAATGATGTTATATACCTGTATCATGGCCTTTCCCAAATTTAGAAGACTTAACAAAAACCTTTGCATTACATCACTATTCTGACCCATTCATAATGATGGTTTCTTACATCAAATGCTTATGACAGCTCCACAAACACACATGCCTAAAAGTAGTATTTAGCATTTCTTCTCCCCAGAAGCTTATTCATAAACAATGTTCAACTAGTTGTTCTTTGTCATTCTCCAAATCCTGCCAGTTCTTTAGCAAAATGTTGCTATAAGTTAATGCAAATGTTACATACATTTTTAGGGAAAATGTCCATTAGGTCAACAAGTCTCAAAGTATCTAGGTCTCCTCTGGTGCTTCTATTATAGATTATAATTCCAGTCATCCATTCACTTGGAAAATAATGACTGATGTGTTTATGGAAACATGGATGCATGAAACACTGATGTCCAAATAAGTTTTAATATGAAAGATCATATCAGGATTCACAAAAAGAGGCAATGGCAAGGGATGATGAAAACAACATCTAAAGACCACACTCTTTTTAGATGCCTCTGAGAAGCCCAGAAGAAGAATAGAAGGGTTGTAGTCCTCTTATGAGAGCCAGTGTGCTGTAGTGGTTTGAGTGTTGGAGTACAACTTTGGAAACTAGGGCTCAATTCACAGCTTTACCGTAAAACCCACTGGTTGACCTTGGGCAAGTCACATGCTCCCAGCTTAAGGGAGGCAATGGCAAACCTCCTCTGAACAAACCTATCCCATGATAGGCTTGAATTAAGGTCGCCATAAGTGGGAAATGACTTGAAGGCACACAACAAAGCCCTCTTATTAATTCATAGCAACAGCTACACAAAGAGAGTGCCTTTGATCTTGAAGGATGCCTGACATGTAGCCATCAACAGTCTTATCCTCTAAACCCCTTTGTCACAACAGTCCAGAGCCCAACAAGACTTATTCCAAATTTCCCTGTAATGGCCAGGACAGCAACCTCCATTTGGCATCCACTGCATTGTCCTGTCCTGTCCTGTCTGCTGCCCTCCCCAAATAAACAAGAACAGTCTGTATGGAAAATCAGCATGTTGGTTCTCATTTCTGCCAAGATAATTGGTCAACCTCTTCCTGAGGTACTTCTGCTTATGTGAAGCTTCACTGATTGATTAATAGGATGACAGTTGTCACACAAAATCACATCCCCTGAAACCTGATGATCTAAAATTGTTTAGACCATGTGTATCATGACCACTATAAGACTTGCACTAAGAAGGACAAGGAAAAAAAATGGGACCAATACTGTGTGCCTGGTTGCCTCATTACTTTTGTGTGTGTGTTAAATAGCGTGTTAACAATGGCAACCCCATGGGTTTCATAGGGTTTTCTACATTAAGGAACATTCAAAGATTTTCCATCGGCTTCATCGACAAATAGTCTACAGCACCCTGTATTCCTGGAAGTGCTCTCCCCCATCTAAGTATTAGCAGGTCTGATCCTCCTTGGCTTCTAAGATCAAATGGGATCCCTTTACACCTGAGTAAAACAGTGAGTGGCAGAAAGAATCCTTAGCACATACAGGAAGTGATGCCAAGGTATCAGAAGAGGCATACATGGATAGAGTCTCAGTCAGTTGAAGGACCATGTGGCATAGTGGTTTGAGTACTGGACTATGACTCAGGAGACCAGGATTCAATTCCCAGCTCAGCCATGAAACCCACTGGGTGATCTTGGGCAATTCAATGCTCTCACCCTCAGGGGAATGCAATTACAAACCTCATCTGAACAAATAATAATAATATAGACCATGCCCATACATCTTTTTTGCCATCTCTGTGGGAGGCGGAAGTGAACCACCATGGACGAAAAAGAGCCACTGTATATTGGGAGAAAAGAGGGATAAAAATAAAATAAAATAAAATATAGAAGCACACGTTCAAGGGGAAACCTATTTGGGAGGGATAGCATTGGTTGTGGCCCCCCACATTCATTGTGTCTGTTGAAAACCATATGGGCTTATGGCCATCATCACATCTCATAGCAGGGAAGTTCCATAAATTAAGTTATGCACTTTGCAGAAAACAATTTCTTTTAGTCACTTCCTGAACCTCCAGTCATCTAACCCCGACATTAGATTGAAGGGGAAAGATTTCACCTCCACATCTCCAACTTGAAGTACTAGTTGTACTTCAAGCCATAACTGTCACAGATAATTTGCTTCCTTTCTGGCAAGGAGCCATTGATATTGCTTCCATGGTGGAGTTAGCAGCTGGACGTATTCTAAGGCAGTCAACTAATTTCATTAGCAATTTTATTCCTATGGCAAAACAGCTGCCACAAATAAGAGTAAGAAAGGCAAAAGCAAGCTTTGGTGCTACTATCCATCATGTTGATCTCTCCTGTCAAGCAATGGAAGACAGAAAGTTGCAGCCAGGCATGGTTTGCTTCAGTGTTTACCCTGCCTTTCTTCCTCCGTGGCAAATTTGGCTGGTTAGTTCTTGAAATAGCTAAAGCATCTGAAACAATACCATATATTTATTAGCTGGGCCAAGACATTTTCTGGTCCCTGGGTCAGTTACAGATTTAGTCATATTTAAAGCAGAAATCAATGTCACTCAAGTCAGACATGACTAAAAGCCTTTACAGACTGCCAGAAATAATGCAACTTGAGTCCACTTTAACTGCCCTGGGAATCATGGGAACTATACTTTATTGTGGCACCAGAACTCTCTAACATAGAAGGCTCAATGTCTCAGACAAAATTACAGTTCCCAGGATTCCCTAGCACTGAGCCAGGGCAGTTAAAGTGGACTCAAGTTGCATTATTTCTGGCAGTTTGTAAAGGCCCTAAGATACTCTATTTATTTCAATGGGTCATCTTTAAATAGGACTAAATCACCCAGTCATCCACTGTATCAATGTTTTCATTTTCCCTTGTAGAAGATGTTAGTGCCAGCTACTAGCACTGTAGTTTTTCAGGGTTCAGCTCCCTCCTCTGGGTTTCTAGAAGTTCAGTCTCTAGGGCTGAATGTCGATTGGAATGTTAATAGAAAAGATTCATTATCTGTCACAGTTATATTGGGGAGACGGTAACACATGGGGTTGTTGCTACATTAAGTGTTCCTATTAACAATTAATGTCATTGAGAACTAGGGTGATGTAGTGGTTTTGAAAGTTGTACTAGGACTCTAGGAGACCAGGGTTCAAATGCCTGCTAAGCCATTCTCCCCACCTCAGACAAAGGACATGGAAAATCTCCTGTGAATATATGTTGCCAAGAAAACCACACAAAAGGTTCACCTTAGCATCACTATAAATCAGAAACTCCACCTTAACTGACCTAGTTACATCCTATATAATCCTGGGACATGTAGTTTAGGAAGGGGTATTTTTATTTCCAACCAGACAAGATGAGGAGAGGATGGTATCTTGCTCTTCCCTGTAAATCAACAGAAAAAAAGCAAACAGCTGCAGCCACACCAAACTTGTGTGTTCCTTCTCATTAATAATGTTTGCTGTCTTAACCACAACCTGATGCCACTTAGCCATACACGTTTCTGTGTTCATCTGTGAAATGTTGGAGGGTATGGCAAGGTGCTTTAGTGCTCATGCATTGCTTATGGGCTTCCCAGTGAGCAACTGCAAGAAAAGAAACCTAAATTAAAACCTCTTGCTCTTATTTTCTTACTTCATTCATAGTAAAATGCACTTAAACGTGCAGAACAGCCTTGCTTTCATTATCCATTCATGAATACAGTAAAACATTGCATCCCCTCAGGGGTAGGCAACCTTTACCCTTTAAGGGCCGAGGGACTTCAGCTCCCAGAATCCCAGGAGCTATTGGCCAACATGGGACTATTGGCCAACATGGCTGAGGCTTCTGGGAGCTGAAGTCCCTCGGCCCTTAAAGGGGAAAGGTTGCCTACCCCTGGGTGAATATAAGGCTTCTTCACTGCCAAAACCAACACAAAACTCCTTATGCATTACAATACAAATGAAAAATTCTGCAATTTAACATTTGCAAGAGGGGCACGCAGCAGGCATAGCAGAATGACAGTTTCAGCCTTGCAGGCTCCAGATTATTATTAAAATCATCATCATCTATTATTTATTCTGCACCTCATTCTCCACTAGGTGCCATATAAAAATTAAATAGGCATGGCCCTATCCACAAGCTTCCAATGCAAATCAGACATTTCTCATAAGGAGAGAGAATTGAAGAAAAGAAGGCTCAAAGACAGAAATGAGGGGCAGATATGAAGGGGAAAAAAAGAATTCTTGGCAACTTCTTGAGAAACACATTATATATCTTGTTATCAAAGATTTGTCCATCAGATCTTTGATAATCTTTAAATTATTTCAGTTAAAAAAGAAGCCATGCAAGATTTTTAAAAAATGTTTGATGTATACCATAAATTGGAAAATAAAATGAAAGGAAGATTTTAATTTCCCCCTTTTTGAAAAAAGGAGAACCTAGATTTATAAGTATAATGAGAAGAGAGCAAACAGATGTTGTTCTTGATGGAAGCTGAATACCAACTCTTGTAACAAGTAGCCTGGATAAGGACAACAGAAACAGTCAAATAACCTGGCAGACCCAAGCATCTTCCTACTACCTTGCTAAGCAACCACATATCTAAGTGACCTCCCAGAGTGCGTTCTCTGCTGTCGCCCCCAAACTCTGGAACGACCTGCCGGATGAGATCCGTCAGTTGACATCATTAGACAGCTTTAAAAAAGCTGTCAAGACGGATCTCTTCCGGCAGGCCTTTCCAGATTAACCATCCCGGCCCAGGCTCCCTGATCCCCTCATTCCTCCCGTGGCCCCATCTTTAGTGATGGTTGAGGATCTCCAGAGGGACACCAGGGTTTTTGGTTTGTTTTAATTATGGTTTTATGTTTTTTTTGTTTAATACTTTCTTAAGGGGGGGGGGGAGGGATTATAATGTTTTAATGTTATATTTTACTCTTGTTATATTTTACTGTTGTCAACCGCCCGGATTGGTTCGCCACAGGGCGGTATACAAATAAATATTATTATTATTTATTATTATATTAACTTCCTTCCAACTTCTTCTCCAAAGTGTCAATGGCATTGCACCAGGGTGATTAATGGTTTCTATATCAGTAGGGTAGTGAATCCATTACTAGATGTTATCCAAGATGTCAAACTTATTTTGGGGATAGGTTTCAGCACCTTGAATAGCTCCTTTAATGCTTGGAATTAAATACAGAGAGGATTCACTAATATGGAAGCCACCAACCACCACTGCAGGTCCCTTATGCCCTTGCTAGGATCATGTGCTCCATAGGATGGAAATGATTAGTGTTATATACATAAATTTCTTGAGTTTATATACTTTAGCATACAAGAGGGAGAGATTATGTTTCTGAGAGTGATTCTCCACCAAGAATGCTTTTCTCCAAAAAGGTCTTCTTGGTGGAGAATTGCTCTCAGAAACATTTCCCTGACAGTGATGCCATGACTTGTACTGCAAGTGCTTAGTAAGAAAAGGTACTCTACTGGTCACTCAGAATCTGTTACATCTTTGACTTTACCTTCTACAAGGCAAGTTTCCTTACTTTAAGATAGGGGGAGGAGTACAGTGAAAACTTTTAATGTCTTCAGGAGCTTTGCATGCATTTATCTGAATGCAGGCAAAACTTTTCAGGGATAGCACAGGGCTTAAAGCAGGCTCCCTGCTCAGTCTGATGACTAGTAAGAGTAGAAGTTTTAGGATAACACATAAATTTGCTTGGTTTGCATATTTCTCAGGCAGGGATTCAGATACTCCTTGGCACAAGCTGTAGGTTACTTGACAAGAGGTCTCTGCCTATAAAAGTCCATTTTTATCTTAAAGACTATGCTCTTCAATAAGCTTATAATCTCACTCAACAGGCTGCCAGAATCCCAAGTTTAACGGGTAACACTTCTCACTCAACCACTGACTACCCGCTGCCTTTCTGAACCAGTTCCCATGGTAACAGGGGCCTGGCAAGAAGGAAATAGGGTAAAAGAGATTTTTAAGTCATCCTTGTTTCAAAAATTTCTATTTGGTTTGCTATACTCCATTCACTGTTCACATGGAAACAAGGAGTATGAAAGCAGGGGGGAGACATAAATGAAGATGGCTTGCAAAGTTGCTGTCAGTTCAACAGAAGATGTGTTTCCTTCACATGGGTGGAAGAAGAAAATGGAAGTTTGAATGCAGTCATCATACATAGTGACAGAGCTCTTTAACAGGCCTGAAGGAATCTCAAGGTTGGCAGACGTACAAAAATAAATCTTAAGGGAAGGAAACCATGAAGAGTTGGCACGGGGGCAAAACAGTTCAATGAAAACACATTTAGTGACTTGAGAGTGTGGTGAAAGATGAAAAATGTGCAGAGGGAGAACAACATAGTGGAAGATAGTGTTGTTCACTCACAAACATCACCATTCCCATTTTGCTTCAGATCCCACTTGCAAGCTTCAACATTATTAAAACATAAAATTGGGGGTGGTGGTGGTGGTTGCCGGTCATGAAAGCCTTCAACTTCACACTAATGTGAAATGTAAATCCATGCTTCTTAGTCATGCTCAAAATGCAAGACATGCTCCTCCTGGACAGAAGATTGAAATGTAGGACGTGTCCTGGAAAATGAGGACATCTGGCCACCCTGGAATTGGTGTGTCTCCTGGTTAAAGGCTTTTTCTTAAACAACAACACT